TATTTTATTTTATTTTATTTTATTTTATTTTATTTTATTTTATTTTATTTTATTTTATTTTATTTTATTTTATGCAACCTTGAGCCACACTATTGACCAGTTGGTGGCGCAACAAGCAGAACTCATTGTACTCAAAACTTTAATAAACTCACGAAGAAGAACAGCGGGATGGGCTTTGAGTTACAAGGGCTTTAACATTTCGTTCGCTGCGGATAAACAAAGGTAGGCAAACGTAGGTTAAAGTTACTTTTGAACAAACAGGAATACAAGTTTTGATCCCTTTTAGATATTATAGGTAGCTATGCACGATGACATTTTTTTTATTTACTAGGTTGTAGAAGAAAACCGACCAAGCTAACACTAGCTTAGCCCCGTTGTTAAACACTGGACAGATTACCATTGATTTACTTCACAAAAATACTGTATTTCAAACATTCCTTTGGTGGCAAAACGTGTCTTCATGGTCAACTTTAATATGTTATAATAAAGTAGTTGTTAGTGAATGTTGTTAAATGCTCGTTATTTTTCTTGAAAATTTTGGCAACATTACGCGTCCACACGGCTAACAACAACAAACATGGGCTACATTTTTCTACTCACCCTTTGCAAATGAGACAAATAATAATTGTTTTATTGTTGAGTCTATCACCTGTCTGTTTCCAGCTGTGTGCCTTCTGAGAGGAGAAGAACAAAAACTGTTTGGACCGGGAGCAAAACACGGACAGCCTGCCTAATTTCATATTCCATCCAAGACAAATGTTTTTAAGTCATGGATCAAGGTATTGTGGACAGTCCTGTTACCCTTGTCATCAGGGCCCCAAACCAAAAATACAATGACCAGACAATCAACTGTTACCCGAACTGGACTGTGGAGAAACTCAAAGCCCACCTGTCTGATGTTTACCCAAGTAAACCTGTGAGTAAACATCACACTGAAGATTAAAAAAATACAAAGTATTCTGACTCTAGCTTACTGATCATCCTTAAATCACAAGTTCAATCATAGTTTGCATTTTTACGTTGATATAGTTTGCTGTAAAGCATAGTGATGTTGCTGAAATAAGCTTATGTAACAAGTGTCTCTAGCTCATTATAAACCTTAAAATAGTTTGCTTTTAGCTGAGCCACCAAATGTCCCAACATCTGGTGGCATTGCTTGACATTTGAAAAGTTCAGACCCTGAGTGAGTTGTGTAAGAGCATTTCTGGCTTTTCTTAAATGTCAAAAATGCAGTTTCATACAGGACTGGTGAGAAAGGTTCGCAACTATTGTAAAGTAGAGCTTACACAACTAAGACCCAATTTTCTGTGCACACGTGTATGTGTTTTACTATTTCTTTATGATTTGTATTGCTGATGAAATGTATTGTGGCCGTGCAGAACTGTGGAGTGAAAGAAATTGAGTTTTTGCTGAAAAGACCCTTGAAATCTGTAGATGTGACATTACAGTTATTTAGATTGCTGTTGTATTGTTCTGCTAATCTGATCGTGTTCGTTCTGTCTACTAGGAACCTGTTCTGATGTAATCTTTTCAAACACACGGAGAAACTGCTGCACAGTAAAGCCATGGAGTAATCTCTGAGAGCGCTGCGCTTTTGTTTGTGTAATTTAATTAAGATTAACTGTGGTATATTTTTAACAAGGAGAAAAATCTAGCTGCAAATCGGTCTGCATTCAAAGGAGGAGATTTTGAATTCTTGAATGAGAGTAGAATGAATGTAGGTTTAATGAGGACACATTTTGACCTTGTTGCACTGGCTGTTAAATCCACTACTAAGACCCACTTATCCCAATTTAGGTTACTACGATCTCATCCTCGTTACTTACACATGTTGTCTGCCCTTTGATGCTGCAGTTATCCTCGCTTTAGTTTGAATTTCTTTCTTGAACAGAAGTTTCAAACACAATATTTTGTTTAAGAGTTTATGCTGTTGTTTTACGCCTCCTCATTGTCAGCATTTTTGATTTTATATGTTTTAGAGCTCCAAAGACCAGAGGCTGGTGTATTCTGGAAAACTACTTTTGGATCACTTCACCTTGAAAGATGTGCTCAGGAAGGTAAGTTCTTGTAGGCTCAGGCCTTACACACAGTGAGGTTTTATTGAGGTCTGTTAAAGATTCACTTCCTAGAGTTTGAAGCTCTTTCGGCAGAAAAAAATACAAACAAACTGAGTTGCATGCAAACATCCTGTGAGGCAAATTCATGAGAACCAGAGAAACTTTGTTGCAGTTATGCAGAAAGAGGAAGCTTTAACTTTTTTCTTTTTTTAATGAAAGTTTTAGAGCTACTGTTGTATTCAGCAGAGCTTCTATACTTCTGCATAAACCGGATTTAAAGCACGTTAAAGCTGCAGCTGCTGAAGAAACAAATCAATAATTAATTTTTGTATTGCACTGACAATAAAAGAGGCAACTTATTCGTTATGATCATTTTAGTTAGACTTTGTAACATATCTATTAGGTTTTTCTGCTTCTTGCTGCCTTTAATTTCCAGGAACACTTTTGTAACTTAAGCCATACCCTGTGAACTTTTGCAAAAATAGCACAGATACTGATAAAACCAGTTTTTGCACTTTGTTTTAGTTAATTCCTCTATAAATTAGATTAAAAAGTTCTGTGAGGAGTTCTGTATTGTTAACCTGACAAAGTCCTGGAGGAGATGCAATACTTGGACTCTGCGAGGTAATGAGCTGTGCTGGTCTCCGCAGCAGGACGAGTACCATATGCTCCATCTGGTGTGCGCCTCCAGAACCCCTCCCAGCTCCCCGAAGCCTCCCCGCAGCCGCAGTAACAAGCCCCGGGAGAGCGCAGCCGGTCCCACGGTGGGTCAGCAGCACGCCTGTCACAGCTTTCAATTCATTTCATCATCGTCGCATTTCTTTTCATCATACAGCTTTCCCTGCTGTAATCCTGACCTCCCAGAGGGTTTTAAATTGTCATGTGTTCTTATTTCAGTACTATTGCTAATACTCAGAACAGTTTATTTATTTATTTTTCCTCTGGTAGCAGGCCCCTCAAAGTTCCAACAGTCAGAATGGACAGGCGTCTGCAGCAGGGAGCAGTGATGGGATGAGGCAGCAGGCTGGATCTCTTCCTTATCACCAGCTGTATTCAGAGTTTATGCAGAGGTAAGTTTGGACGGTGAAACTTTGACAGCACGTCAAATCCAACACTGGAACTGCAGTTTTTGTTGTTGTTTATGTAGCAAACCAAACAAAGTAAACTGGATGAATTCAAAGTAACACTTACTCAGACACAAGCACATGTTATGGCTATATCAGAATCATGGCTGACTCCTGCTATACCAAA